CACATACACATACGGACGACCCCACAATATACATTTCTGCTCGCTGTAGCAGAGCTATAACGCTGCGTAGCAAAAAGTCATAAAAACTGATATGATCATGTATCGTGAATGGTGCCGGTGGAAAAGTAAAGGACCACTCGTATTGCAAAGATAGCTATGCGCAGTGTATGGGAGCAACTGGAATATCAGTAACGTGTGAAATCGATGTCAGTTTTCACGGTGTCTTAACAAAATTGCATAATTTTCGGAGTAAATTTTACTTACTTGTATCATGCCGCCTTGAGCAAATTTTTCAGATTTTTTTTTTTGACTATTTTTTTCATTTTTTTTGTTTCATTAAAAAAATTTTGGTGCTCATACGGGGATGAGACAGAGACGTACATCTTCTTTTTCCTTTTCGTAGTTACACGGAATTTCGCACACTAGCTTGACTAGTTGTCCAGTACCAGTTATTAGTGTGACGTCAGCTGAGCAACTGCCGCTGTTTTATCACTTCATTTTATTACCACACATCGTTCCAGTTATTGCCGACTGTTGTCAACGGAAAGCCTTTGTATCTGTGCCTCTCCATTTTATTTTATAGCATTACTGATAACATCAGCTGAGCTGTTAGTGAACTTTCTGGGCCACAGTTTACAGTGTCATCCCCTCCCGCAGTCTGCGCTCTTTTGTGAGGTTATGTGTTAAAGTTATGCTTATACACGGATACGGAGTTTCTTGTCCAGATGGGAATTTAAGTGTTGCACAAAGCTTCCAGCTTTGGTTTAGCATCATTTTTTTTTTCTGCTGCGCAATATAAATATAAACCCATATACTCAGCTCCCCAGTTGTCTCTTGCCTCTGTTTCCAATTCCTACTTCCAAGCAAGATTTCAGCTCCTTTCTAGTCAACAACCTGGTTCGCCTCCCCCCGTCACGACCCTCGTTCTTAGCTTTCGCCGTCTCAGCAATTTGCCTCCTAACCTGGCCGAGTTTAGCCGAGTTTTAGTAGCCGCCTGGATGATGTAGTATTGAGCGGTCACATTTCAGGACAACAGCAGTCTCTACTCCCTCTTCAGTTCCTACGTTCTTTCGATTTTCTCAGCGTGGAAGTGATATTTTAAAAGGGGTTGTGTCTCTCCCTGCTACGCATTTCTACATTTCTGGATTTTTCTGCATTGCCGTACGGTCGGTGCTCACGGAATTTAGGTTTCCAATTCTTTTGTTTGATGCCAATATTCAAACAGGATTTAGGGGCGCTGCATTTGTTCCCATTTTTTTTTTTTTTTTTTTTT